GGGAGGAAACTAACCAAGTTTGCTCATTGTGAAGGGAACACCAAATTGGAGCTTGAAGAATTTTCTTGTTTTGTTTCTTTACTCTTCCTTTTGTGCCAATTTTGTGTTGTTTTGATTGGACCACTTGTGTCTTGGTCCTTATTCATTCAATTGGGTTGTAAATTGGCCTCTTAAATTAATTAGTTTTTTAGGAGTAGTTTCATTTACACTACAAGAAATTCGTCATTTTGCGGCGGTTTTTTTTTCATATTGCGGCGGTTTTCGCCCCCCTCAAAATAAGTAATGGCGTTTTATAAAAACGCCGCAGTTACGTTCGCCACTAGCATTATACGGCGATTTTTACCAACCTCCGCTACCTTTTCCATTCTGCGGCGTTTTGTTTAGCGGGGGTTTTTGACCTCCTCAATTTGAATGATGTTTTTTTTATTTCATAATATATTTTATTTTTTTAATCTACCTTTTCCATTCTGCGGCGTTTTGTTTAGCGGGGGTTTTTGACTTCCTCAATTTGAATGATATTTTTTTTATTTCACAATATATTTTATTTTTTTAATCTAAATTACATATCAGATCACAATCACTACTTAAATTGACAATGATATTTTGCAGCAGTCATCTGCTGTTTTGAAGTTTCTCAAGGAAAGATAAAAGGCCTAAAACAACATATATCAACACTTCATTCATCTGATGATAATTTTGACCTTTTGAGAATAGAACTCACAGTTGATCCACAGTACGTCACCATCACCAACTTTGCTATCCCATTCATTTAAACTGTCCTTGAGATTTATAATTGCATTTGCAGGAGCTTCAATGGCTTCTTGAAGAACCTTATATATATATATATATATTAGAAAAATTCTCAAAAATCATTATTAACTAGTATGTAAACGAAATCTTACTGTTTGAGTCTGTGTTGCATGGATACAGGTACGGTACTTGTACCAAATACTAATACATGGATATTTACCCGATTTATGTAATGTGTCGGTCACTCTTTCAATTTTGAGAGGGTGTTAACATGTTTCTTTGTAATTTCCTTCACGCATACAACTTTTTATTTATTTTCCTGTTTTTTCTTTTTTTTTTCTTTTCTTAATTGTCATTTTGTTGAAACTATATGGCTTAGGTAGAAAAAATGCAAAAGAGATAAAGGAAAGGAAAACTTGCGGTGAAATGCAGGAGTCTACTCAGATCATTGTGAGATTCTGAAAGTTATTTTAAAGGGTAAGTTATTGAGTTTCCCTAAAAAAAATTAGTTTTCTAAAACCTTTTATTAAATTAGTCTTTTGGACATCTCATCATCCTTAATATATTTTTCATCCAATCGATCCATTAGTTAACCACCTCTAGATCAACATCACTTTTGAATTAAGGAGAATTTCCCTTCTTGAACTTAGCCAAACCTTTGTACTCTTGAGAAACTATTGATCTAGCTATCTTAGTTATACCCTCGTTGGCTTCCATATAAGGCAAAGCAACATTCTGTTGATGCATAATTTTAGTTATCATCTCCATGACCCTAGTCATTCACTAGTGGAAAAAAACTTTTAAAATCGATTATTTTTAACTTTTAAAATCGGTTCTTTAACCGATTTTGAGAGCCGATTTTAAAAGTTAGACTTTTAAAATCGGTTAAACAACCGATTTTAAAAGTTAACTTTTAAGATCGGTTGTTTAATAACTGATCTTAAAAGGCTGGCTAGAAAAAAAATTAAACTGGAACGGGCCGTTCCAAAAATGGAACTGGCCGTTCCAATTTAATCAAACATTACAAGAAAAATGTTGATTTCCGACAGAAATTTCCGATGGAAATAGGTAAATTTCCGACGGATTTTAATCCGTCAGAAAAAGTGGCGTTGGAAAAAAAAAATCCGTCGAAAATAATTTTTCGAAAGAATTTTCCGACGGAAAATTCTGTCGAAAATTTCCGACGGAAATATCCATCGGAAATATCTGTCAAAAATTTCCGACAGAAAAATCTGTCGGAAATTGCTGTCAAAATTTCTGACGGAAAAATCTGTCGGAAATTATAATTTTTTTTTAATTTTAATAAATTTATTAATGTAACAACTCTAATATTTGGTCTCTCAAGGGTTCTATTTCACAATATTTCACTGTTTAGCGTGTTTTATCCTTACTTGTGCAATTTTTGGGAGACTTCCTAGAAGGTCACCCATCCCAGTACTACTCCAGGTCAAGCACGCTTAACTGTGAAGTTCTGATGGGTAAGCTACCGAAATGTCTATGTATGTTGTCAGTATAACTTGTACAAATTAATTCATTTAAGTCATCCTCAAATATACAATCTCATATTTGTACTACAATAATAATATATAATAATTTTATATTACGAATAATAATAATAATAATAATATATTTAATTATTCTTTATTTATATGTACTTATTTTTATTTAAAATTATAATTTAAGTTATTTAATTTTATAATTTATAATGATAATATAATTTATAAAATTATAAATATTTATTTATTACATACTTATAAATTAAATTTTAATATTTTAAATAAATTATTAATTAATTTAATATATTTATTTACCTTAAATCAAACATATAAAATTTAAAAAATGTATTTATCCTTATTTTTTTTTCTAATTATCAACTATTAATAAAATACTAACTTAAAATCTTATCTAATTATATATAATATTTTCATATCAAATTTAAAACCAGATATTAGTTATACAAAAATATTAAGATCATATAGTAAATTGTCAATAAGATTTTAGTTAAATAATTTAAAATAATTAATATTTCAATTATATTGTTAATTAGCAAATAATTTATTCCAAAACTAATTAATTTTTTATATTAATTATTAGTAAAATTTAATAACTTTTAATTTAACAATTAATTGGATCGATGAAATTCAACACACCATGAGTTATTGAGCGGAATAACTTTACCAAGAGTTATTTTGTAAGTTATCTTAAATCAAACATATAAAATTCAAAAAATGTATTTATCCTTGTTTTATTTTTTAATTATCAACCATTAATAAAATACTAACTTAAAATCTTATCTAATTATATCATAATATTTTCATATCAAATTTAAAACCAGTTCTTACATTTTCGACAAATATAAATTTGTCTGAAATATTCTATCAATAATATAGCTTTTCCTACAAAAATTTTCTCATCGAAAATATAAATTTTTCGACAGATTTAATTTTGTTTTATAAGAAATCATCTTCGATTAATATAACATTTTGTATATATGATTTAAGAGTAAAGAATTTTCAATTTAACAGTTGAATTTACAAAATTCACATTTAATATAAAGTTATTGAGCGGTGTAACACTTAGTAAAATTTATACCATTGTAATTATAAACCCGCTCATATATATATATATATATATATATATATATTAAATGCGACTTTTACAATGTATTACACCGCTCAATAACTTTATATTAAATGTGAATTTGGTAAATCCAACTGTTAGATTGAAAGTTCATATCTCTTATAGATTATATATACAAAACTTTATATTAATCCAAGATGATTTG